TTTCTTTCTTTCTTTTTATTTTGTTTTTGGACAGGATCTTACTACTAGTTCAAGCTGGCCTTGAACTCACTATGTAGCCCAGGCTGGTCTCGAATTCTTGACAATCCTCCTGCCTTAGCCTCCTCAGTGCTGGGATTATGGGCATGCATTACCATGCCTAGCCTCAGGACCTGTTTTGTAACACAGAGGCATGAATCTTCTTTTCTTCCACCACATTGCAGACATCTTGCTAAGCTTTCAGTTAATAATAACTATGCCAAGTTGTGACCTTATTCTTCTCTTTAATTGATGAAAATACATCTGTCACTATTTTTTGATGCCCATTTCATTTGCTTGCTTTTAAATACCTCAAGATAGAAAATTAAGTTTTCTATGGGCCTTTCAGTTTTTTGATGACATTTTGGCTATTGCAAGTACAGTCGCTACTGACAACATGACAAGTTGGAAAAATTACCATAATCAGAAAATTCCACATTTGAATTTCTCAATAAATCTAATTTAAACACTTCTCCTCAGCTGTAGTCTTGGGATAATGCTCGTTTCTTCATTCCATTTCTTACAGAGCCATTCTTAAGAGCTTTCTTATTGATTCTTATTCAACAGGGGAGTTAAATATATACATGAGCAAAGAAGGCCTAAAAAGCAGGTGGCAAAATGTCATCTGTGAATAAGCCACATAAATAGGAAGCTGTGGAGAGTTTCCATTTCAGACATTTTTTTATCAGTGAGGCAGGTGCGATGGGCTGAGATAGCGTGTGGTGTATATAGTAGCTTCTCAGGAAATCACTGAGTGAAAGAACCGTTGAATATGTATGTATGGAAAGTGCGTAGCATCACTCTGTTTGCTTGGGATGATTCTCTTCTGATGCTTCTCTTTTTAAAATTGTATTTATTTATTTTTGTTGTTGTTGTATTTAGTACAGGATCTGCAGGGTCTCACTACACAGATCGAACTCACAGTGATTCTCCTGTTTTCAGCCTCCCAAGCACTGGGTTTACAGGCACCTGCCACTATGCCCAGTCTCAGTCATGTCTCAGTGTGCCCCAGGGGCAGGGCTGGCATGGCAGGCCAGGGATCAAACCCTGGTCCCTGTGCCTGCCTAAGTCTGATGCTTCTCTTGTCCCTGTGTGAGGCAACCCATATGGGTGTGCAGTTGCCCACAGTTTTTGGATGACAGCCTAGAACTTTATCTGGCTTGGGGTCAGAGAAATTGTCATCTTTCTCCTTTATGAGGTGCCCAGAAATGCTATGAGCAGAAGAACCATCTTGCTACCTCATGACCCTTGAAGTGTTGCCAGCCTTGAGAGTCATCTTGCTCTTTGCTGGGTGTGTAATAAGTGCTACAGTTTGCCTTTGATTTTCAGAAAGGAAGAAAACCATTTCTCTTGGCAGCTGGGAGGGGTCACCTGGAAATGATAGAAAAACTGACACAGCTTAACCTGCACACTTCAGAGAAGGACAAGGTGAGCTGGACTTTGATTTCCTCACTGAAAGCAAAAGAAAGGGAAAGTGAGAACAGCAATTGGTGTGGAGATTTGGATGTAGCATTTTGACCCACAGTGGCATTGTTCAATGGTTACCACAAAGGGAATTGTGGGCTACCTGGGTAGGACTCATCCCCTTAATTATAGACTGTCTTCGTTGTTAGTTTTTGCTTCATAAATGTTTAAAAGCCATACAGCCTCATGGATTTTTCCACTTTCAACTCCTGTGCTTTTCTGTCCTCTTAAGACCTGATTTGGCCTCAGTCCCAGGTGACTGGGGAGGGAAAGCACAGAGGTAGACTTCAGTGTGTAGGTAAACATTTCTGGGGGTCTGATTAGGGGAGATTTCTGTGTGTGGATGTATGGCCAAAGGGATTTGCACACTTTCAAGTCTTTTGCTGTAATTAAACTGACCTGTCAGAACTCTGACAAGTTTGCCCTCACTTTGGCGAAGTGTTTCTCATTTGTCAACTCTTTGCTAGTAAATTGGTAGGAAAGGTAGAGCAAGGAACATAAGTGGTTATTTTTTGTTTCCAGTAGCTATTTTTTAAAAAAATTTAAATCTTAAAATTTTATACGTAAGTCTTCCAGCTGTGGCTAGCATGGCCTACATTCTGGGCAGTGGATTTAACCAGTGTGGACATTCCAGAGCCCCTCCAGAACTCTGGCTGTGGGAACAGGGCCCCCTTCCGGGAAGGGCTGGAGTGCATGTGTCTGTTGCAGGAGGGAAACACAGCCTTGCACCTGGCTGCGATGCATGGTCACAGTCCTGCGGTGCAGATGCTGCTGACTCAGTGGCAAGAAGTGGACGAGACCAATGAGGTAGGTGGGGGCACTCATTCCAGCCTGACACAGGGCTTCAGAGGGGGAGGACTGGAGGAACCGCTTCTCAGAAAGGAGTTGGAGGAAAATAAAGATGTGGGCACCATGGGGTATACAATGTGACATTAAAAGACTACAACTTTTCCCTCAAAGTATCCCACAGCACTTTATCCATTTGTTTATTCATCCATTCATCATTTAATAGAGGAAATATTTACTCTTTGATTCCTACAGGGCAATACAGACATGCCAAAAAAAAAAATCATAGTGGGGTCTGTGCAATTATGGATGCATGTTATGAGGACACAGGAAACTTCCAGAAATGAGAGTCTTCTTGGAGGTGGTGATTATTATCTAGGTCATCTATTATCATTATCTAGGTTTGCACGGACCCTGGCAGGAAGGGCTCTGAGTGGACATCAGCAGGACGAGGGCGCAAGTGTAGAGCATTTCAGACAGGTGGAAGAACCAGGTAAAGGAGCCGAGGCAGGAAAGAGCATGTGTGTGCTGGGGCTGACACATTCAGGGTGATAGGCACCAAGGATGGGGAAACTCGGGCTCGGGCAGGCAGCCATGAAAGATGGCGCTTACCAGGGGGAGGGGTGTCTTGGACCTGTGACCAGCAGAGATGTGGAAGGGTTTTAAGCAGTGAAGAGGAATGGAGTCCATCTTGCACGTGGGCAGATTCGAAGGGTGGAGTGGGCGTGTCTGGCCCTGTCTGTGGAGCACATGGAGGAGCAGGTGGTGCAGGTTGGGGTGAGTTTTCCTGAGGTCCCAAGGGGGTGGAAATCAGAAGTGGGGCAGAGGCTGGCTTGAGATGGGGTGCAGGGCTGCGGCTGCGGAGGCGGGCCTGTGAGTATGCTGTTAGGGTCATTACTTCCTATCCTTTCAGTCAGTGACCTTTTGGGTCAGTTCTTTGGAAACTGAGGTGAGTGGAGTCCTTTCAGGCTTCAGAGCTGAGTATTCTGATAATTTCTAAACTTGAAACTCCTCATGAGAGATACTGGAAGAAGTGCTATCATAAACATTTAACATGCCAGAGAGTTGAAGTTGCACTGTTATTCCACTAAGAAAAAAGAATGCCATCAATTGAAATGTGACACACAAAAAGCCTTTCTATCACTTAGACTACTTACTTTCAGTCCAGCATGGTGGTGGACACCAATAACCCAGAACTTGGGAGGCTGAGACACAACTTCCACAAGTTGAAGGCCAGCCCAGGTACAAGAGAGTAGCCTGAAGACCAGCCTGAACTATACAGACAGACCCTGTCTCCAAAAACCCAAACCAAACCAAAATGAAATATGAATATTTGCTTTATACTTGAAAGGGCTTTTAGACTTTTAATTTTTCAAAATTGATCGATTGATTGATTGATGGTGGTACTGGGGATTCAACCCAGTGAATGTGGTGAGCTACATCCCCAGCCATTTTTATTTTGAGAGATCTAAGTTGCTCAAACTTTTGATCTTCCTGCCTCTGTCTCACAAGTAGTCAGGATTACAGATGTGTGCAAGGTGTCTGGCTTACTTTCTATGTTTTTAAATCATTCAGGTATTGCATAAGGGAAAAAAATCAGCAACTAAGTTGGTTAAGTATTCCTAAATTCACATTGAGTTTGATTCCTCTAAATCACTTTCTTCAGAACTTTGATTTCCTGCTATCAAAGGTGAGTGTGGGATAGTTTCTTAAGAGGATGATCCAGTATCATTTCTGAGATTTCTGAGGCCATGGATACCCATTCTGACACAGCACGCATGCTCCACTAGTGCTACCTTGTGTGTGCCTCTGACTGATGCAGATTGTGAGATGAATCTCAGTCTGACACAATATTTATCTTAGAATTGTGTCGGAGTCCCCTTCAAGTTCTCCTCTTGGTCCAAGAAGTTAATATTTGTAATCCCAAAGGTATGTCATTGGAATCCCACCAGTTAATGCCAATCTACCACTCTCAGTGCAACACACAAATGAAAGTAAAGACACTAAAACGTATTTATAATTATTGGGGAGCCAGGGGACCCTAAGTCCAGTCATGAAGATGGCTTTCTGGAACAAAGAGGCTGGCACAGGGCCTCACCCGGTTTTATTCAATGGAGGAATGGTTTGAGGAGAAATGACTGAGAATTGTGGGAAGTAAGTGATTACTGTGAACTGAGCTAGGTGGGTGGCCTACATTTACCTCTGCCATATGCAGACAGGTATGCAGAGAGAGTAATCTGCCTTATGCTATTGAGATAGTACCTAATGTTTTGGGGGGTCTGGTGCTTCAGCTTTGATGTAGTCTTTCAAGCCCCAGGAAGTCATAGCCTCTATCTCAAGGCTCAATCCCAGCTGGCAGCATGGAGCATTAGCTCTTTGTCCTGTCTTGACCCGGCTCACATTAAAGAGCAGCAGGTGTAGGTTACCAGGGAAACATGCATGCCACCTTCAAAGACTATCACCAACACCTCAGTTAGATCAATATACATTGCTTAAGGTCAATTGAAAGGATAAACAGAAGTCCTAGCCAGCTCTGTACATATCAATACAAGGAAATAGGGTCAGGCTCAGCCAAAATGGAGACAGTCGCTCTTCTTTCAAGGAGAGCTGCTCAAGTGGTCTTCCACAGAATTGCTAGTCACCAAAATGATGATCATAGGTATCATCATGAAAATCAAAGGCTGCGATGTGAGTGTCTGCGATGCCTGGGACCCATCAGCGTTCCCTTTATTTTCTTAGTTGTCCAGTTCCAGTTCTTGTTGCTTCTGTCTCTTAGAAACAGCTGGTCACTATGACGCACACTGTACAAACCAATCCCCAACTGACCAGCCATTCTGCCTCTGTACTTCCTGCTTGCTTATTCCTTATAAACCCTAGACTACCAGAGATCAGTGCCTATTGGTATAAAATAGATCCTCCTCCAAATCCTGGGTGTCATTTAGGTGTTTCCACTTACCGTTGCAGGTCCAAGAAGCCCACCAGTCTGGCCCTATGTATTTGAGCCTTTGAATACAATTTCAAAGCAGGGCCCTGAATGCCTGGGGCTGACCCCTCATCCACCACTGGCTGGTGTGAGAAAGTGGACACGTTGTTCTGTCCCTGTCACCTTCCATTTCCTCCTCCTTAAAATAGACTCAGAAGGGCACAGTGAGGTTTGATGTGAAGGCTCTGCCATACACTTAGTACAGGGCGTAGCGTGGGCACTTGTATAAAACATGGTTATTGTTTTTATTGGCACTACTATAGTTCAGTGAGAGGGACCACAGGTGTCACCAGTATCAATGGTATGTATTATTTTTATGCTTATTTTTTCTCTTCCATTTTCAGGGAGAATGCAAGCCTGGCTTTCAGCTCAGGATCGAGGACTAACACAGAGCCTTCCTTTGTTTATCTGTATTAGCTCCCAAGAATTTGGTCTTCTTGAATGACAGCTATGAGTCACGAGTTAAAAACTGAAAAAAAAAAGAAAGTCAGTATGGTAGTGTAGACCTGTAAACACAGCACTCAGGAGGCTGAGGAAGAAGCATGGCAGTGAGTTTGAGGCCAGCCTGGGCTATATCATGAATTCAAAGCCAGCCTGAACTATCAGAGTGAGATCCTGACTCAGAAAATAAACAAATAAATAAACCCCCAAGCAGCAATAACAACGAATCAACTCAAAAAGAACATGAATTACTCAGAGTACTTTATGGGTATGATTGGCCTTCACAAATCAATATAGAGTGTCTAAATCTGCTCTGGCTGCTGTAACAATACATTAGACTGGGCAATTTGTTAATCATAGAGCTTGTCTCTCATAGTCATGGAGGTTAAGATGTTTAATATCAAGGTGCCAATATAGTCAGTGTCTGAAGAGGGCTACTGTCTGTTTCCATGAGGCTCCCTGTTGTTGTGTCCTAGCAGGGCTGAGCAACAAATGTCAAACAAACCCTGAAGCCTTTCCATAAGGGCACTAACCCCATTGATGACGGTGGAGCCATCATGACCTTTTGACAGTTTGTGCTGGGGATTAAGTTTCAATACAAATCTTAGAGGAACACAAGTATTCACACAATAGCAAAGATCAAGTCCTGTGGCCGCAGGAGGGAGGGTCAGTGTTACTCACACTTTCTCTATTCTGTTCTAATGTTCACATTCACCTTTCAGCCCTTTGGAATGAGGGCGGGGAATTCGTAAAGGTCAATAAACTAACTGCGGATGATGATATATTTTACTTGCACACAGTGATGTGTCCAGTGATAATATTATTTTTGGGGGTGAGGTATATAATGTTTGTGTGGCTTTTGGTGCTGTTTCCTGTTGGAAGCTGTTGCCAGATCAGTTAGAATGAATGTGGAATGCTCCAGGGCACTGGTCTCCAAGCATTCTTGGGAGCAAATGCATGCAAGTAAAGAAAGTTCAAGCACAAATCTATTACATTCATTTATAATTCAATTAGTACGTTGTAAAACATATGGCAGAAACATAAATTTTTAAAATTTGAGATGCAAATAAAACAAATGGCAGTTTTGTGTTTTCTCCATATGGAAAGGATTACCTTGTGTACATTCAAATTTTTCCTTGTGGTTTCCTTTCTGTTCCTGAATCTGTGTATTTGTACTGGTGGCCTAGACTTCGCTTAAGTATTCTTTAACTCTTGGACTTTAGTTCAGTTCAGTTGTTCCTTATTTTAGGTAATGTTGTCAGGAACCACTTTGTATGTAAAGCTTGGTCAGAATTCCTATTTCCTTAGGGTTTATTTGCAGAGGTACATTGTTGGGTCAAAAATTGTGAGTCAGGTTCTTTTCTTCTCCTTTTTGTGCAAATATTTTTCCATTGATATTGCCTTTTACCATCTCCTTTTCTGGAAAAGCGAGAAGAGAGATTGTGAGGAGAAACTCTTTTATAGAAGGCTGTTTCAGGCTCTCAGTTAAAGGAGCCTATGCCTTTCCTGCCTCGTGGGGGTAGGATCCCTGGTCCCAGGCACTCGCCTCCCTGTCAACATGATTGTCCATAGCTGTTGAGCTACAAATAAAACCCCATGAACTTATCCAAATGCAGCCACTAAGGACAGAAGTCAAGGAAGAGGGCCAGGGAGATAGTTCAGTAGAATAAGCGCCTGCCTGACAAGTTCAGGGTCCTGAGTTCAATCCTCAGTACTGAAAAAAAAAAAAAAAAAGAAGAAATGATTAAGTAATGGGAAAGGAATTCCATATTTCTTTTATATTTTTCAGTGTCTGCATGAAGAAAGGGAAATATCCAAGTAGCTATTGTGTGAGACCAGATATGTGATTTTTTTCTCTGTTTTGACTTACGTAAACTAAACTGTAACTTTATCTTACTAGTATTTATCCCAAGTTTCAGGAAACTGGATTACTGAGTTCACTTTTTAAAAAATTAGTTGTTAGGGCTGGGGTTATAGCTCAGCAGCATAAGTGCTTGCTTGGCAAGCACAAGGTCCTGGGTTCGATCCCCGGTACCAAAAAAAAGTTATTTTTTAAATGACATAGGTTTTATTTATTTAGTGACAGGCTTTCACTGTGTAGTGCAGGCTGGTCTTAAACTCACTTATGTAGCCCAACCTGACCTCAAACACGCTGTGATCTTTCTGTCTCAGCCTCCGGAAAGTTGAGGTTTCAGATATGTGTCACCATGCCTGGAGACATTCAACATTTTAAATTGGTTGGAAAGATCAAAGCTGTGTTCTGTACATACAATTCTAATTTTATATGTTTTATAGTGTATGTGTTATAGCTCTTTATTTCCAAGATAATCTTTCTCCTCAGGTTGTTGTTTCCTTGTAGGCAGATCTGTATCCTATTCACCTTTCCAGTTCCAGCTGATATAATTAATATCTAATAAATGTCTGCTGGGAAGATCAATCAAGGGTAACAGTATCAACAGTGGACAGGACAGTAAAAAGAGGCAGCCAAATAGCAAAGAGTGCAGGACTAGCTTCCCACCTTTCTCAGTTTTCAGCTGTGGTTTAGTTTTATCTATAAAACAAGGATAATAATAATTGTGACCTTTAGGATTATAATACAGATTGACTGGACCAGAGAATATAGTCGTGGCAGTATAAGTTGACACACAGATGCTCAGTAATGTTATCCATTATTAAGAGTAATGCATACGGGCTGAACAGATAGCTCAGCGGACTAAAGCACCTGCTTAGGCAGAGGGTAGCAGCTGGGGTTGGATCCCCAGCGTGCTGTGCTGGCCCTGCCCCCAGGGTGCGCTGAGCCGGTGATTGAGGCTGGGTGTGGTGGGGCGTGCCTGTAATCCTAGCACTTGGGAGGCTGAAAACAGGAGGATCACTAGGAGTCTGATCTAGTAGTGAGACCTTGTAGACCTTGTACTAAATACATTTAAAAAAGGAGTGATGCACAAGGGTTATAGAGAAAGCATGCTGCATATTAGATTAATGTAATTCCACGACAAGGGGCAATGACTAACTTTTCTTTTCTTTTGTTAGAATGGAGAAACACCATTCTTCTTGGCTGTTGCAGGAGGTCATGAAGAATGCAGCAAAGTACTGCTGGCAGCAGGAAGTGACATCAACATTATGAATAAAGTATGTGCTTGGGGCCATGTTCACTCATGCAGAAAACAGGACATGGGGTGCTCATTAGGAGATATGGGTCTGTGTTGCTCATTCACTGGGATTTTGTATAATTAATATTTATAATATGCTTTGTTTGGGTTAATAATTAATGATTACCTCTGATATTTTCCTATTAACCTCTCCTCAAAAGCAATATCATTTTTCCTATTTATGTGGGAAAGAAAAAATTGGGGAAAAAGGAACAAGTCATCATCACTTCTTAAAGACAGACACTCTTACTCTGCTTTGCTTTCTCCCTAGCAGATAGCACATGCTTGCTTGTACGTATTAGATACTGAAAAGAAAGTTTATTGTGTGAAAGCTCTGGCAGCCAATGTGGGGCCTGAAAAAGGCATGCTGGTACCTTCTTCTAACGCAGAGTACTTTTTACATTGGTCATGGTGCGAAGAGGCCTCAAACTCTCAAGCCAAGTTTGACTCTCAACTGTCATCCTCATTTTTTGTAGATCAGAAAACTGTAATTTAAAAAAGCAAAGGAACTCACCCAGGATCATCCAACTAGTCAAAGGCAGTGCAAGGATTCAGAGTCATGCTTGTCTCTATTCCTGGAACTTTTAGCCACTATAATGGCCTTGGCTTCAGATGCTTTACTTTCTTTGTTTCCCTAATTAGTGTTAAATTACAAGGAAAATAACTTATGACAAATTTGAAGAGTATCTATCTCAGTTATTCTTCTCTCCTTGCTGGGACAAAATACCCAACACTCAAAATTAAGGTAGGAAAGGTTTATTTAGTTCACTTAGTGCAGTCCATACTCACACAGCTCCAAGGCAGAGTGGCACATGGCACAGAGCAGACATTCATGGCGGGAGCAGCAAAGAGCAGAGAGCAAAGGGAGAAGCAGCAGCTCGGGCACTTACATTGTAATGCAGATTACCCACCCAAGGGCCAGGGTGTAGCCCTCACACCTGCAGTCCCAGCATTGGATCAAGAATCAATCACAAACTCGAGAAAGTGCCCCATGACTGCTTGAGGCTTTGGGAGGACAACTAGGCACAAACCATAATAGTACCCAAGGACATATGATAAGAAATGTCTTACTCTAACTCCACATCTCAGTTTCACTCCCTGGAAATTTAGTTAGTCTCCCAGGAATTTCCCATGAATTTATATGGAAGTGTGAGTTGACTACCACACTCATAGACACACTGATGCCACATAAATTATAGCACACTGTATAACGTGTATTGCTGTGCACTTAATGGGCTTTAGTTTAATTGCTAGTATCTTAGAGATCTTTATATCAGCACATAGCAAACAATTCTTTTTCAAATGGCATGAAATTAAACATTAAAATCAAGAATAAATTGTCAGAACACTAATCCAGGCATTTCAGACACAAACGACCCATTTCCCTCATCCCGGGGCCACTGTGAGTCTCTCACCAGCTGGCTCTCACCCTGCGGAGCATAATTCTTTTCAACCTCCAGTTCATGTGCTACCTCTTTGCCTTTTCTGTGTGTCCTGTCCTATTCTTTGTTCAGGACACCAAGGGCCTGGGAAGAAGTCCTAGAACCAACTGGGAACGTTGGTGCCCCAGCTGAGTGGCACCCTGCTCATGGGTACAGCCTGCTCCTCATTATTCTCTATCCTTCAGCCAATCCAGCACAGTAAGGAAGGAGGAGAGAGGCCTTTCACACTGGGAAGGTTGTATACCCTTGTATTCTGCTGGTGGAAGTGTACATTTGTACATCCCTCTTGAAAATCAAGTTTTCATTTCCTTTTCAGCCATGTATGGGAAATCATATTAAAGGAATCATCTAAAAGGAGGAAAGAGCTAACTATGCATACTGAAGTGATAAAGTTACTATCAAAAGCCAAAGAATTAGACACACTCTAAATGTAAATGAATGGTAGGAAAAGGCTGAAAAAATGTTTGGCATGTTTATTTCTCAGAAAAAGAGCTATTGTAAGTTATAATGATATATACCAAAAATATATTGTGATATAGAAAATGTTCATCATTGAACAGTAATTAACATGGTTAATATATAATAAAGTATTAGTACAACAGTATATCTATTTTTGTCCAACCCTAAGGGGACCATGGAAAAATAAGTGCTCTCTCTTTCT